TTAGTTTACAGACGACAACCCACCACACCATTCTTGCCACCTCTATATATGTTAAGCTTGCACGCTCCAGGTTCTGTACGGCGCTGGGTACGGTTTCGACTCCTCCTCGCTGTCCACCAGTGACCAGCCCGACGAAGCGGCCTGCTGTCAGGCCTGCTACAGCAGCCCCACCTGCCGCTACTGGGACTATGTTCGCAGTAGCCGTGTGTGCCGCCTCAAGACCGACCAAGGGCAGTCAGGGCAGCTCATCCCTGGATTCTTCTACCCACATCGAGACCGAGTAGCGGGCGCGAAGAGGGGTATGTGCATATGTATGTACCAGCGTTTTTTTTGCGGAATATTCCGAATTCGGAATAAAAAATTGTTCGCGGTCCTGAAAATTAAGGATAAATAATGTTCCGACCGTACAAGTTCATTCCTCCAGCCAAAAATGGACTGTTTATGCCAAACACTCGGGGAAAGACTTGGTCATGGATCGGTTTTCCAGTCATGGATTTGGTCATGGATGCGGTCATGGATCCGGTCATAATTTGCCATTAAGTCATGGATTTGGTCATGGATGCGGTCATGGATCCGGTCATAATTTGTCATTAAGTCATGGATCCGGTCATGGATCAGTTCATAGTTTGCATAAGCAAGTGCAGGATATGACTGGTTGGGGTCATGAGATGCGTGGTCATGATGTCATTTATGATGGGATTTATGACAGGTTATGGGACCGCGATATGACCGTATTCAGTCATGGCTGCACCTTATGACCCCATGAGGTCATAAAGGTGGTCATGTACCTGCTCATAAATATGCGGAACATGACCAGGTCATATTGCGCATGGTATTCCATGATGCAACAATGCAGGCCATGACCACCCTAGCCCATGTTTTGCACTCATTCCATGAGTCGTACACTGCACTCCATGACCACCCTGGCCCATGTTTTGCACTCATTCCATGAGTCGTACACTGCACTCCATGACCACCCCGGCCCATGTTTTGCACTCATTCCATGAGTCGTACACTGCATTCCATGACCACCCTGGCCCATGTTTTGCACACATCCCAGAAGTTGTTCACTGTGGGCATATAAGTCTTGACCAGCAACCCATCAATATGTGGGCTCCAGACTCCAAGTCTGCTATCACAAATAAATGTATGTACTCCAACACACCACACTGTTAAGGTGACAAACCTCAATGTTTCAGTGGACCACTCAGGTAAATCACCCACCAGCGCTGCTAGCAGCATCCTATCAAGTAAGCCGGATCACATGCAGCTCAACTACATTCCTGAACCACAACTGCCTTCCACTATCAATATCATAGCTATGAACTTCACTCCTTGCAGGTCTCAATCCGTAAACCTCCAGGGACTTAAGTGTGTGCACTAGTAGTAATGCCTGACCTCATACATTTCTCTATATGCCACCAAGCCATCTATTACAGCTATTAAAGCCGCTAGAATGTCTTACAGGAGACATACATGTTAACCATATCATAGTACTTTAATGCCATGGATAAAGCTAGTATAAAGTTAACAGTAAACA